GGTAGGCTCGACCGGAGTAATTTCACTGCTTGACAGCAAACTAGTGTTAGGAACAAATCATTTCTATGCATTTCACAGAATGAGTAACGTTCCCGGAGGCCAAACTCCGCCACCTCCCCCTTTTTTTTTCTCTACAGACGAGTAGACGACCCCCCCCACCCCCCGTGTGGGAACCCCATGTTCCCTGTGCTCCCTGGAAGCGAGCGCGCTTCGCAACGCGCTCGCCGCCACCCCGACCTGCTTCTGCTAGGGTGACAGATGGCCTCACCTGTCACCCCCCGGCCTGCGCTTATGGAGGACGGAGGTCGTTCTGCGACCTCCGGCGCCTGAGTCGCCTGCGGTACCTGGCCCGTTCCCGGGCCTGGCGGGCCGGGAGAGTCCTAAACCTCTCCCGGTCCCGCTCCGCCGTCTCCTTCGCGAGCATTACTTGCTCGCAGAATGAGGCGGCAGAGTTCCACGCACTCTCGCTTCGCACGATAGCCGCTATCAGGCTATCGAGCGAGAGAACCGCCACCTCCACCTAATACTGACCAAGGCTCTTGTGACATTTGAGTTGCAGACGTAAATGGGCGGCGGTAATCCCTGACCAACAAGCGTCCCATTTGCTCGTTTGCGTGTTTTCGTGTTTTTAAATGCTTTTGTGTATGTCGTATGGCCTTCCTCAAGAATCAAAGTATCTCCATGACAAATTTCATTAAAATCGGTTCAGCGGTTTAACAGTGAAAGCTAACAGACAGAATTGCAGATTGGTTTTCAGAGTTGTCAATAACTACGTTCGTCAATGTCTGTTATTTGAAACGAATAAAACAATACGAGTTTTATTCCATAGTAACCACAGACAAAATCGAATTTGTTTTCCCGCCATTAAATTAGACATTGTATTTTATTTACGTTCGAATGTATAAACTAGAAAATTAAATCGAAATCATTGTTTTATTATGTGCGGTTCTGTCAAAACGGCGTAAAAGTTAGGGTGATTTTATAATGTAGACATTTTAAGGCAATTATTGTAAATATTAAAATAAAAGAATGTAACGGAGCTTATTTGAATAAGTGACATTTCCGCCTAATCAGTGGTAAAGCTTATGGTCAGGTGGAGAATTCTGGCTGAATCTATTTAAACCTTTGATTGTCCATTGTATCGTATTTACACTTATATAGATAGCAACAACAGTACCACAGAGGTACTTAGAGAAGGTACAAACAGCTAGTTATTTAAACGAAGCATTAATTTTGTGTGATTTAATCTTAACTGACGAAGAGATAGACTGAGGCGCGTCATACACTATGGATCGCGCGTAAAAAAACTAATCCCGTACTTTTGATTACTGCAGTAGTTACTCACAATGTTTCCTGTGGGAATAAATGCCGGGAAATATATTACATTTAACTGTATAATAAAGGTCTATAATCTCTTAATATAATGGTATCAATCTCTTAATAGAATCTCTCTTAGTTATATTAAAAAAAAAACAATATAGTGACATCGAAAAAGATTAAATAACTACATGTGGTACATGCAGTACCTGTCATTGTGAAATTGCATATTATTCAACTATGAAGTTTATGAAATCGAAATATTCTTCATTGATAGATACATCAATCACCATGCACTGCGTTTAGAAACAACTAATTTTAAATTATAGTTTAAAAACCTTAAAAAAATACACTTTTGTAACTAGCTGAACTAACAAGTAGAAAATATTTTCTATAAATTCCAAAATAACAATCGTTTTATCGTAAAAAAGCGTGTTAAGTAAAAAAAAATATTTTCTGGTTTTTAGTTCCGATAATTACAAAAGCGTATTTCTTTAATTTTTAAAATAATTATTTTTGCCTTTTCCAGTCATTATGACTAAAAAAAACATATTTGCACATTAAGACTAAAACAAGTAAGTCACATGGGCTTCAGCACACGCCTTAGTACCTGGCGAAAGACACTACCGTATTTTTAGGAATGGAATAAGCCGTTAATACTGAACATCCCGATAACTTTTTTTTTTATCAAATTATTATATTGCCATCGGTCCTTGATAAGTGTACGAATTTTGAATTCAATCCGACGTTTTAAAGTGGGTGAAATTCACATTCAAAGATTCCGTTGCATAGAAACACATACCAAGCTAAAAAAACGTGTTACAAACAATGAAACGAGTATCCCTGGATTTTTCTCTCTTCAAATCTTTTTTGCGGCACTTCAATCTATTTAGTCACTTTTGTTGGCCCTAGATCGTGTCTGGTTTGGACAACCCTGTCTTGTATCATCTGCAATAGTGCCAATCTACAATATTAGTTTCAAAAAGTGGATAAATAAACTTGACAGAAATTAAGACAGATTACAGTCCAGGTAAAACACCTCTGTCTAGAACCGCCTTAAACTTATTTTATTTGGCTTCAACACCACTGAAAATACAACAGTCTCTGTATAAGAAAACCACAATTTTATTATCATGTTATAGTTTTTCTACACATGCACAGTTTTGTATCTATGAAGATACTACAGATCTACTAATACATATTATAAATGCGAATGTAACTATCTGTCTGTTACGCTTTCACAGCTATACCGCTCAACAGATTTTAATGAAATTTGGTGTGGAGATACTTTGATTCTTGAGGATATAGGCTACTTTTAATCACCGATATACACGTAGAAGCTAGTATGAATTTATAAAATGAATCCTAAAACCAACTTTAAATGTTTAGCGTGTAAGTTTGTAGGGTTCCGTAATAGCAAAAAAGAATACTTATAGTTGTCCAATCTCTCTGCGTATATATTAATACGTGAAGAAAATTCTATGTACTATGTTCAATCTGATATGGCGCACGGCAGCAAATAATGGAATACGTAAAAAAAAGTGCTAAAAGAAATGTGGAAAGTTAAAAATTGTGTAATATTGGCTACATAGTACTGTAAGGCTCTAGTATAAATTTTGAACTGTCACGTTGTAAAAGTCGAAGTATACAATGGATAACGATATTTTCATTGCGCCTGCTCTATCATTATGACAATACACGAAGACGTTAAGGTTGGAGGAGCTCATGGTTAAGTGGCAACCGAGTATGTTAACACATTGCAAAGCAACCCAACCATTCTACAGATGAATGACCATTTCTTGACATATTGAGACCCCTCCGTGCGTCGGAGAGAACGTTAACGGTCACGGCTATGATGCCATAGAGTAAGATTTCCATATTTCTTAACAAAACTTCAAGTTATTAATGTTCATATACATATATCCACAATACTAAGGCTGCTTCTACACGATGCAAGTAGCTTGCGCATGTAGCGGAACTTTTTTTAGGTTAGATGCTTCGCGAAAGGGACTAAGAGGGTCCAGCGACTCGAGCATGTGCCAGCGCGTGCCACCCGCGTAAGTAACCCGCACGATTGGTATCGCGCGCTAAATTTATTAACACTAGTAGAAAACACTTTTAACAAATGATTCTATAAGAATTATCGTTCGCCGTGGCATTTAATGGCGATTACATACTCCAGACGCTACACTGTGTACAAGCACCCAGGTGCCAAACTATTTCAAATCTTTAGACCCATACATGCAGGCCCGTCGCTGACCTATTCGAAGGCCTGGACACATTAGGATAATGGAGGCCATCTTATCTGGATGGATGGAACTACGACCTTGGCCGAGAACTTTTTTAGTCAGTCATTTTCGGTGGAATTTCCAAAATAAGAAAATATGATTTTTAGCATAATTGATGATCGGGCAGGAAGTAGGGGCCCCTAACAATGAAGGGGCCCCTAACAATGAAGGGGCCCGGGCACGTGCCTAGAGTGTTAATTGCACCGTGTAGAACCCTTACTGGGAAAGTCATATTTAGGTACTTCGGCACATAGACCTTGGTCAGCATGACCGGAGTGACACAACAGCTTCATAAATAGAAAACCGCTTTTGAGCTACTCTTTCGTTGCTTTCCTTTCACCGAGTAAATGAAACTTCCGAAGGCTCAATACACCTCCCCCCACCCCTCCATTTCTGGGAGAGGCGCTTATCCAAATCAGGTAATATATTGGCTCAAACCTTGAGTTACCCTCCTATCTTGACAGTGGCACTCGAAGATCGGCAGTGTGTTAGGACCCTTGAGCTGCAGTTGTCTATGATCGATAGTCAAATACCATCAGGTGTCGTCCGTTTGTCTCTTTCCACATAAAAAAATAATAATTAAAAATCGATTTGTTCGCACGTTGCTTCGTTACTATTGAAGTGTTAAACATGCGCGTGTATCCACAATCCACATGGCCGAAGTGTTGAAATGTGTTTATCAAAGTGTCTGCGCCAATATTTTTAACCCAAAGAATATTATATTGAAGCTCTTTGACGCACTTGCAGAGCGTAAAGGCTACGGTTGTTATGTGCGAACGTTGGGAAACAAATAGCAGACGAAAAATATACTTACCTATCTTATAATTTAACTACAAATTGTTTGAGATAAAATTACTTAGAATTACTTTTGAGACATCAACATACACGCCACTTTTACTAGGTACGGTCACTATAAACTAAGTTATGAGATGGTATACAAAACAAATATTAAGACCTAGAGTTATATCAATAATGCATTTATTTTTACTACTGAATAATTTTTCATATTTGTTACTTTTTTATACCTATTAAAATGGCTGAACTGTATATATTTCTGTTTCTTAGCTTATTTTAATACCTGCTTTTATTACAAAAAATATTTATAAATATATAAATTGTATAATCAATAAACATTTCAACCGCATCAAACATTCGTTTACCCAAACACTACCGCCCCATCGATATCCTAAAAATAAACGCGTCTTGAAGTCTGTAAAACTAATTTCCAGTCGTCTGGAGTCGGCCCTACTGATTTGACATTCGGCATTCGCGCCAATTTTCGCGTCCATCTTTAATTTCGGATACACAACCGGAATAAAGTGAAAGAAAACGATTATGACAATATAATTAAACCTGTGCATATTTAAAATATTTTACATAGTTAAACATTTTAAAATGAAGTCATTTATGTCAATTAAAATACCAGTGATTATATTTCTTATTTGTTTATGTGGTGAGAGCAGAGCGAAGTTGAATGTTAGCAAGGCTAACGATCATTCGGGTGAAGTGAAGTTTCCAAGAAAGGTAAATATTAATCTTTTATTAATTTATGATAATTTACTGCTATTTTACCTACGTACGGGAGAATGTTATTTAATCGTTTCAAAAATTCGACTACGAATGTCGTAATTTTTTGGTTACATGAAAGGAAAACAGAATAAATTTAAAAAAATAATAATTAAATTGGATAATAAAATAACCAACAAAAACCTAGGAATAGAAGAACCTCCAAAAGAACATTTGCGATTTTTTTTGGCAACTGACGTTTAAATCCACCGATATAGCATAAATCGTTTATTTAATCTAATATCATTTACGCCATCTCGTAAAGGTTAAAAATACACAGAATATAAATAGAAAAAAACAAAGATTTCGTGTTAATAGACTAATAGACAAAATCTTAAATTCTAAGATCTAAAACAGATTTAACAGCGCGTTGTCGTATCCTTCTAATTGCGGAACATGGACGAATCGAAAGTTTCACCTTGATCGAGTATTTTTATCAACAAAAATTCATGTTAGGTCGTCTTGCCAGACACAAAAAGTTTTAGAATGCCCTAATTTATTGACCACTTGACCTATAAAATAATCGCAAAGAACATTTCATTATTTTCTATTTAGTAACCTTAAGGCCTTAAAACTTACTAACACGTATAAAGAGTTAGTAAGTTTTAAGGCCATCAATCTTGCCCGAAAGTTTCTAAATAAATATACATATATATATATATTTAAATGAGAACGTATTATAGGTAAATTAAACAGACACAAAACAAATGCAAGTGTTCATCACGCAATTTTTCGTCCTGGGTGGGAAACGAACCCGTTTACGGTTTAATACGCTTCTATTTCTATATATATTTTTCACCACCGGCGAATTGGGCGGCGTAAGTGCGCTTACCAGCGCTTCATGCCGCCCTGCGTGTGGCCGCGAGTGGAAGCCGTCTCTGGTTTTCTCCTTCATCTGCTACAGTGACCAGCCGCGAGGAGACGACGTACTCCTGTGCTGGACGTTTCCTAAATAGAGAGCTTACCCTAAGGTGGTCCCCGCGCTGTTGCGGGCAGGCGCTGGGAGGGATTGTTATTGCAGCGGTCTGATCCGCAAAGAGCAAACGCCTGGAGCGCCAGTACGAACTAACCCCAGAGAGCTAACACGACGCTTCACACGCTAGGAGAACGTTCTGCCGTGCTGTGCTGTGTAGCGATGTCAGTAAGCGCCCGCCCATATTCAACAAGTTTTGGTCTGCGCGGATCCAAAGTTTGTTGTGTCGATGAGATTGACCGGGATTTAGTATTAATAGCAATTCTGGCTGAAGTTGAAGAGAGAAAAATAGAAACTGATACGTTGAAGAAAAACATTATTCCGTGAGAGAGTGATGCTTTGGCACAAATGGGGCAGCTCGTTCAGAGCGTTACCACAACCTCAGAAAAGACCGGTGTTAAGCAATTTTTTTGTTGCATTTCATCGAGTGAATGGGGGTGGGTGGTAATAATACTGTGATCTGTGATCACATGTTTCATGATAATCTGTCAAATGAAACCGCATGACACGACATCCTGCGGCGTCCAGCGGAATGCTACGACGTGCCGCGGTGTGATTGTATCAAAATAAAGTAATATGATTTACCACCACCCCACCGATTGCCCGTTGTGAGCGATTATCGCACGAAAAAAATGGGCAGCTTCTTCTTCTTCAAAAAAGCTAGCGGCGGCTCTGGTTGCTATTGGAGTAGCACACCGTGTGGTTTCATTTGGTTCGAATCCCACACACCGACCCGCTGCAAAAGCCGGTGGGGTTGCGGCCCTAGGGGGTTTCCACAAACCCCCTTCCCCCTATCACGAGAGGGTTATGAAAGGGCGGCAAAGAACTTCTGACTCTTAAGTTGCAGGTGTCCATGGGTGGCGGTAGTCACTTACCATCATTTGATCTTCACGACTGGACAGATCGATAACATAAAATAACACTATTAAATCTTAAATCTAGCCAAAAAACTATTAATTACATACACACATATGCATAACATAAACGAGAGAGCTCCTGTTTAAGTTTAAGCATTAATTTTAATTAAGTTTCACTGTATTGTAAGGAAATTTCAATGAAATGAGAAGGCCGGGGCATACGGGTATGCCTTATATAGGCTAATGTTTCACGGGGCAATCCTGCGGGGCGTATGGACTCGTAGCCAAACGTTCTTGTTTTGATAAAAAAACAATTTTCATACAATACTTTTTTACATATATATTTTTAACATAAAAAGCAGATACCACTTAGAAGCTCCAAAAAACTGATAATCACCGCGATATATTCCTGGCAATAAGTGGCTTTAATGAAATATAAAACCTGAATGCATCATAATTGTCGTTTATTACAGAACCAACAAACAGTAGTTCTATATTGTTGTTCGCTTAAACTTAAAACAGCAATAAAACTGGTCAATGAATATTTAATTAGTGCAATACATCAATAACTGTCAAAAGTCAAAATAGTTTAAAATAAAATCGCTATTTCAATGATCAACTCAGTGTTACAAACCCAAATAAACAACTAAACGTCTAAAGTGTATGAAAATAATGAATAAAACAATTTTCACAAGTCATAACGCACCAGCAATAAAATAAAAATATTTGACTTTCCCTCTGATCTCCATCGTATAATGTTAAATTAGTCACAATAAGGCAGTACACTTCGATGCATGTGCGTAAACACTTTTTTTAGACGCTCAAGTTTGAATCACCTGCCAAATTGAAATTTAAAAATGGTACAATTTAAATAAAACAAAAGTTCACAGGATATTAAACGCCATTTTGAATTTATTACTTCCTATACCAGCCACACATTAGCGTTTTTACTTTATTTAACAAATAAATCATTAAAAAAAATTGTTAGTGTGTTAGTGAGGTATTGGAATTCAATCCATGAGGGAAGTACTTCTTTAATATTAAAGAATGTATAGATTTAGTGTAATAAGACTAAGGCGAACCAAAAAACTAAATATTATACCTTTCAGGGCCTAGGGTATCTAGGATATATACCATATACTGACCAGATTAGCAGTGTATCCAAGAAGGGGCGACCGTGCATGAAAGGCGTGTGTGTGTATGAAAGCCATTATTATTATGATCTAATACATTTTCATGACTACGTGATATAGTAAACTTGTCTACACAAGTAAATATGTCATATTAATATAATTTATATGACTAATAACTAATAAAATTAAATATTTACATATAGTAATCAAAACAATTTTTGTACCAGACACACTCATGTGAAATACAATTTCTCGGTTTTAAAAACTATTTTTATTATTTTCTGTTTAGTTATTAAAATTCATTTATAGTATAAATATGAAAGTTGTTTATTTGTTAGGCTTTCACGCCTAAGCCACTGAACCAAGAACGACCTCCGTCCTCCATAAGCGCAGGCCTGAGGGTGACAGGCGAGGCCATATCCACCAGGGATTTATTTTCTAGGGTACACCTGGTTGCTCGGCTACTGGCACCCGAGACGGCGTGCGGTTTTTAGTCGGTGGTATCCGAGGAGATATCCGCACGGAAAAAAAGGCGAGGCCATCTGTCACTCTAGCAGAAGCAGGCCGGGGTAGGTGGCGGCGCGACGCGCTACGCAGGTTATTTCTTAACATTATCGATCAAAACTTCAATTATAATCCATTAGAATCTAATTTAAATCAATCTAATTATTTTTATTATGTAAGGTAGTTTCTAGATGCTCCGATATATATAGTTATATTATCAATGTATTTTAACCCAAACTGAACTCTCGAATAAACGGGGCCAATATATGTAGAGGTGTCGGTAACAGTGTCGCGAGTTCAATGGTTTTTTCCCATCTCAAAAAATACATTCTTTTGTTTGTTGTTCAAAAGTGCCCAACGCGGCTAAAAAAGTTTTCACTTCAACAATATCTGAAGCGGGTTGTATCGTGTCAAAATTTGAGCTGAGGAACGTTTCGTTGAGGAACTTTTTGAGTTTTTGAAGAGTACACTAACCTATTTTTACATATAAAGATTCACCAACGGATTGATTTAAAATGTAAGCAAAAAATAAATATAGCCAGGTAATAGACATAAAACTGTTAGATACTCCTCCGAATTAGATATTATGTGTTGTAAGCAATAAAATATCTAGAGTTATAGAGAAAATAACCAGATAATAATAACTCACGGCCTCTCTTATTCAATCACTTTGTGTATATTGTTCTACTTTAGAAATTATATACATATTAATCAGTGAAGAAACAAATTTGCTCTCGTTTTTAAGTATACTGCGCCTACGCAGATATAAGAAAGCTAAACAAAGCTCAAATAATATTTGTTCATTATTGAACATACAATAATAAACCAATTGTAAATATTAAGTTGACAGTATAATACCTTTGTGAAATATAATTAAAACCCGAATGAATACTTGTTCATGTGTTGAAAAATAAAATGCGCCTAAATAACCACCCCTATTCATCCCGTCGGTGTCGTAAGAGCCGACTAAGAGAATAAACTACGCAGGACAGCAGCACTGCAAAAAGAAGGAAAACTTGAAATAAACCTAGTATAGTATAGCCAAAACCTCCTTTTTAAGAAGAGGCCTACGTCCAGCAGTGGACTAGTAAAGGCTGTCGAAGATGATTCCTTCTTCCTTTTTCACCCTTAAGGGTCGATATTTTTCCTCCTAATTGGGACCGTTGGGCGCGTTGGGACCAATCCCTCCTAAATAATAAAGAATTTTCCAAATCATTTAATAAATAATGCAATTTTGGTGTAACAAACATTGTTTAATAGTAAGAGAGGCATGCTTCAGCACACACGATTTTAAACAATTCTTCTTTTGTTTTCACGCACTGAGTTATCCGTGTGGTGTCGGGTGAAGAATACGGAGTGTCATCACCCTTTATTTATCCCGTGTGTGTCGTAAGAGCCGACTAAGGTAGCAAACTACGTAGGACAACAGCACTGCAAATTGTGTCAATGCTCAACACCTAACTCTCACTATGAACAGTCTGCTCATCATAT